ATGTTTCTCTTTCTGTTGAAGATAACATAATTTAAATGGTGCCCACCTCAGAAACAAAGTGCTGGGGACTGGCATAAATTTCTACAGTTAATCATACAGAGAAATGGAGTTTTGACACAATTGCTGAATGATAAATTGAAGTAATGCTCTGATTCTCATTAGTGATGCACCCCATGTCACAACAAAGCTGGGCAATATCATCTGTAACTTTTACAGTGATGGCAGTTTCCAGGTCAGTCAAGGAAAAGATGACTCAATTTCACTCATAAATAAAAGAACATTTTGAGAAATCAATAAATACCATCCTCAAGCAAACCACATCCAACACTGTGGAATTGCAGGTGTCTTTAATTTTGGAGAGGAATAGTTCTGAGGACAATCTGAGTGGGGGAGGTTGGACATCAGGAGGAATTCCTTCATGGAGAGGGTGGTCAGGCATTGGAAGAGGTTGCCCAGGGAGATTTGGAGTCCCCATCCCTGGAGGTGTCCAAGGAACACCTGGACGTGGTGCTCAGTGCTCTGGGCTGGGGGACAAGGTGGGGATCAGGCACAGCTTGGACTCCAAGGTCTGGGAGGGCTTTTCCAACCTCAGTGATTCTGGGATATGGTTAAATTTTTGCATATCACTGACAGGGAAAGCCACAGGGCGAGTGTTCCCTGTAAATCCGACTCCCGTTATTTGTGTATTTGTGCACAATTGTATTTCTGACCAGGAATGGGACAGCACTCCAAATGCAGACCTGGCCCCAGGAGGCTGGTCAGTGCTAGGAGAGCCAAAAATCACCGAGAACACCATAAATCCAAGGTGTGAGTCAGTGTCTGGGGAAGAGAACGGGCATTCCTCCGTGCCCGATCCCAGGATCTTACATTGCCATCTACGGGCTGCTCCCGGCAGCTCCCGCTGATTCCCGGTCCTGGAGCTCCCACCTGCACCAGCAACAAGAAAAGGAGCTATAATACATTTTGGGAAATTCTTTTTAAAATGTAGAGGAAAATATTCGATCCGTTGCACACGTGGCCTGTCATTTCCAGAGCAGGCTGGTGGATCTGCAGGGAAAGGAGGATGAGGATACACCATCACCAGAACTTCCGGGGAAGTGCAAAGTACATATTGACACTACATATATACTTATAAAAATATTTATGCAGCATTTCTTTGGCTGGAATATTGGCAAGTGACTTTTTTTCAAAAGGCTAATGCAACTTTATCTGACTAAAACTAACAGACTTCAGGGTCACAGGAGGCAATGTAAACACCTCCATCTCTTGTACAGGAGCAGTCTGGTAAGGAAGCAGTTATGGTTTTATGTGTAAAAGAAATTATAGAATCTACAGGAAGTCATCTAATTGAAGATGAAAAGGCATCTATAGTGTTTTAATTAGTTCAAATAACTGTCACACCTGTTACCTCCCACTAGTACAGTAATAAAATGAAACCGAGAGCAGAGTTTAAAAAATATGTTTGAAATGGACAATGTGCAAGTCCTGGAAATGACTTCTGTAGATTCTACCTAACATGGGTTTGTCACAGCACCTGAACACGCCCATCCTCCAGGTGTGCACATACACACCTGTACATAAAAATACACATAGAAAAAAACAAGTTTAAAAACTTTAATTAAGAATTTCAAACCCTTACACGGTGAAGTTAGAAATCTGTTTCCCAAATAAGAACTTTTAGCAGGGCCTGTAGCAATGGGACAAGGGGTAGCAGATTTAAACTACAAGAGGGTAGATTCAGACTAACTTATAGGGAGGACTTTTATTACAGTAAGGGTGGTGAGGCCCTGGCAAGGTTGCCCAGAGAAGCTGTGGCTGCCCCATCCCTGGAAGTGTTCAAGACCAGGTTGGATAAACTTGGAGCAACCTGGGATAGTGGGAGGTGTGCCTGCCCATGGCAGGGGTTTGGAGCAAATGATCTTAAAAGGTCCCTTCCAACCCAAATCATCCTGTGATTCCATGATCCCTTTCACCACAGGTGAATGCCCCCTTGTCTAAGAGAGTTCGTTTCCCAGTCAAATATCTACAGAGCCATTTTAAATTTGGAAATAACCTTTCTTTGCAAGCAGGGATTTGGTCTCTTAGCAACAGCACGAACACCTCACAAACCAAACTACGGCTTCCTGGCACAGCAGGGCCTCGTGCCATGGGCAGGGAGAAGCCACAACAACATCCAACTGCTGGTTCCTTCCTTCAGTGACTGATGGAAAAGGGGCAGGGCAGCAAATCCCACAGTGAATCCCCCATCAAGGCCCTGGTGGAGGTCAAGAGCTGGACCATGGACAGTGTGTTCCAGCCTGGATTGCTCTGCCTCAGCTGTGTTTCCCAGATGTTGGTTCTGGCTAAAGCTGAGGCCTGACTCTGGCTTTCAACAGACACCATCATTTTAAGTAGCCCTAATGCAGACCAGGAATAGCTTCTTCTCTGGCTGGGAAACTTGTACCACAGCAGGACTGGACTGAATGTTATCATTGTGCTTTTCTGATAAGATTCAGATGACAGCCATCATTTTGGAGGGAAGCTATTTTTTGTTCTTAGCATGAGCATGAGATATTACAATTGCAAGCACTTCACAATAAAAAGAACAAGAGGTCAGAGCAGCACCATCACATGGATATATTTCAGTTGGCTTTGACTATCAGCTGAATCAGTCACCTGAAATATATTGTGAAGACAAGATCAAACAAACCTGTTCAATGATAAAAGACCAGAGAACAGGCAAAGAGGGCATTTTCCCTTCCCTTTGCTGCTGTATGGAGAGTACAGAGTGTGCAGCTGTATGGCACAATACAGATTAGAATGGACTTGTGCTCTAAATGACCAAACTTTTGTCACTGCAATACCCCCCTGCCTTGTCCAAGTCACATGACCCACGAATTTGAGCTATTAGAACTGTTCTAGAACAACAGGCTTATTAAATTGCTTCCTTGGAATCTGGTCACTGGGGACACACTGGGCACACAGCAGAGACTGAGGAAAGAGTGACTTGCCCAGGAGTGCAGCCAAAACTTAGCAGAAACTCTGCATTTCTTCTCTGTCTTTTGCCTTGTCCGTGAAACCATTGCCCTTCTGGACAACTGAGTTATTGGAGGAAAAAACTCTGGGAAATCTTTCTGTCTCCTTCCTAACCAGGCCTCTAATCAAGTACTGCTTTTCCTGCACAATATATATTTCCCCAGCAAGATACTGAAGCTGCAGTGTGAGGCAAGGAAAGGGGTTTGTATATTTAACCAAGTAACACAACCCACAGAAGGTTTGTATCACAAGCCAATTCATGTGTGTGTTCTCCTGCCATTCACAGTGCTAACTGTGCTCCAAATTTTGCTGCCCTAATAGATGTTAATATTGATCTCCATTTTATTCTATTTCCCTGGACTTCTTTCAGAAGAGCTGTACAAAACCAGCTCTTTCTGAGCTTGAATTGCCTCTCACAGCTTGGGGAATGCCATGGTTTATTAACTTGCAGTGCCACCTAGCACACGGCCTTCACATTATTTTTTCTGTCGTTTCACAAAGCTCCAGATTTTCATATTAAAAAAAAAAAACAACACAATCTTGTGCTTGGAGTATTTTAAGCATCTAGTGCAAAGTTTTGTTTTGAACAGCTAAATTTTTATTAGAAATTATGCTTTCTAATAGGATAATAATAATCAAGATGCTCACATGCCTAAAATTCTGGTGTGTGAACTTTGAGGACTAGTTTTGGCTACATCCCTTATATAGTTGTCTACAAATACCTCTATTAATTGTTAGGGGATTTTTTTTTAAAATCCTACACTTTGATAGCAGGTCAGTGATGAATTTATTGGGGTTTTGGGATAAATAGAGACTCCTGCCAGATTATCAAGGCACGTTAGTACAATGTCTGCAGACGTGTTTAAGACTGGTCTGCAAGCTTGACCAGCTCAATTTGCTTTGCCTTAAAATACCACCCATGGCCCAGGAATAAACAAGATTAGAAATGAACTCTGCAGCCATCCCAGAAAGCAACACGTGGGAGACATTAAAAGGCAGCAGTTCAGCCCAAATGCTGCAGCCACTGTGGATCCCCTCAAACCTTGAGGTGGGAGCTGTTCCTGTGCCAAATCCTAGGAAGGCTTTTAAAGATAATATAACCAAGCAGGCAAAAGGCAACCTTGTGACATGGAGGGAAGGACAAGGAGATAAACCCTCTGTGCTGCCCCACCTTCTCCCTCCTGGTAACACATCCCAGAGCAGCCACATCAGAGCTCCTTGGCCAAAGCACCTTCTCTTCACTCACAGTGGCAACACCCACCAATATTTCGACAGTACTTTTGGCAGCACTACAAAATCATAAAGTTTTATTGCATCTCTTAGAATTTCTAAGAGGAGTTTCTCTAACAGTAGAGAAACCACCAGGTGTTTTATGGAGCTCAAGAATTAAAGTACGTCAAAATAAAAGATAAATTTGCAATAATAAGAATGGTTTGGACTTACATATGATTTTATGATCCTTGATTTTTCAGCTTATCTTCAAAGAGCCCAGCACTGCTGAGGGCTGTATTTACAGGATGACCTGTGTATCAGTTCAGCAAGCTAAGGGGAAAAAAATTAAAATAAAATAAAATTTAATTAATTAAATTAAATCCCTAGCATGTAAAGAGTGAAATTTGACAAGCACTATGGACCCCAGCTTTATCTGAGAGATGTGGAAGATGTTTCCATATTTGCTGAGGATTTAATTGCTATCCTAAGCCAAGGAAGAGAATTTTTTTTTCAAAGAAACCTACATTTTGCATACTCCCAGTATACCACCAGTTCTTTCCCTCCTCTGTAGAATACCCTCCTCTATATTGCATGGCCCAATTAGTTCTGTACAGAAGTCTACATAAAAATCACAGATGTATATTTCAGATGCTGCACTCCTGTAAGAGCTTTGGACATTAGTCCCTGCAGAATGGTAGGAATGGTCTTCCCAAAAAGCCATTTTAATAGAAAAGATCCTTGAAAGTTTGTCTCTCATCAGCCTGAACTGATGCTTTTTTTTTTTTTTTTTGCCAGTTCTGATATCAGTCTGGTTTGGGTCCATTTTCATTCATCCTTATCACTGTGTTTCCACAGAATTCTCCAGAACCTTCACCTGTTGACTGTCTTCTATAAAGCACAAAGACTCACAGTCTGGTTTCCTGCTTGAAAATGAGCTACAAGAAACTCAGGTTTAAATTTGCTACAAAATATCCTCCTCCTTCCGTCCCAGAATTTGTAAACACCTGCTGCTAAATGTTTAACCAGAGTCACAGAATATCCTGAGTTGGAAGGGACCCTCAAGGATCAGAGTCCTACTCCTGCTTCATCAATAGTTTAATGAGTCCTGGGAAGGGATGAGAACACCAGCAGAGAACATTTCAGGACAACACACAGGCAAAACAAGTCGTAACAAAGGAAAATATTCAGATTTAGAATCCAAGTCTTTCCCTTCTCTCCCGGTCCTTGGAGTCTCCTTGCTGGAATGACTGGAAAGGAGTCCCTTTTTCAGGGCAGATGGGTGTGTGACACACTCCCTGCTGTAGGTGGTTCAGAATTTCTGCTACTGCTGCCTTTAGTGTGCCAGTCTCTCCCTGACATCACAGCAAAGGCAGAAAAATGGAAACACAGGTCAGGCATTTCAAACAAGTCCCTCTGGTTTCCAAATCCCACAAGAGGAACCTACCAGGACCTAAACATTCTGACTGAGCTGAGCCTCCACTGTCCACCTGAAAAGCACATCCACAAACACTAAAACTTAGTTTATAAGTCATGTCCTCCCACACTTTCATTGTCCTCTAAACTGTGAGATACAACTTTGTTCATAAACTCACATCCAAGACTGTCATTGCCAGAACCATGGCATCTTATAATAAAGCAGGAGTGTGGCTGTTCTCAAATTTACTTTACTAAAATATACCTTTTCAACTACTAATTATAATGGCACTATTCTTTTTCTCTTTTTCTCCCCCTGGTACGATGTGAAGATTAAGTCGTGACAGGTGTTTTTTTCCTCCTTGGGAAGTAAAGAAATCCATACCTTAATTAATATAAGGAGATAATTACTATGCTGAAGTGATGAGGCCTCAGGCAGCTCTGTTGAGAAGCTATTTATTTCTCTTTCTTTTCATTCAGTTCAACTACAGATACTTCTCAGACGTGCAGAGCTCTCCATGCCAGCAAGCCAATAAAATAAACATGGACATACAATTGCCAAACAGAGAGAAAACTTAAGAAATAGGTCTTTGTCCTTGCAGGAGGGAGGATAAATATGTATATTTTCTTCTCCCCTCCCACCCCTTATCTCTCAACCTCTGGAATCTAAGCACTGACAAAAGCATTTTCCGTCTGTTTTACAAACTTTCTGGGGTCAGACTTACATCTTATTAACAGTCAATCTCAGTTTCTCTATTCAAATTGGAGAATCCACTTTTTTGTCGGCCCACAAGTGGGGATGGCTGGCTCTGGAAGTTCTTAGCAGAACCCCCTTGCTGTAGGTGCTGTTCTCTCCCATAAATACACAAGTTTCCTACAGAGAACTAAAAGATGTTGACCACAATGGTCTCATCAGTGCTGCCTTGGCAATTCCCTGTGACAGATTAGTACTGCTACAGATTAACAGTTATTTTTTTTAAATTGTTTCATGCACTGTTTCCATCTCTAAAGGATTTGGGAGATTGAGTAAAAACATGATCCCTAAGCTTTGTCATTTTCAGGTTACAATTAATAATCAGGAGCCATTCTCAATCATTACATGCACAATTCCATGGTTATACCAAGTCTTTACTATTAAATCATAACCAAGAAACACATTTCTCTTCCATTCCCATGGACAGATTCACATCTTTATAAAAATAATCAGACACCTAGAAAAATACATAGTGTTTTTGGAAAAAAAAGTAACATAAGCAACATGGTATTTCTGTTTTTAACATGAAATATAGTCATTAGACAGAGAAGATGAAAACCTATGGAACCTACTAGGAAAACATGTGGGTTTTTTCCCCATAAATTTCTAATACTGAGGGAATGTTGGATCAATTTTAGTGGCCCAAGCCATGAGCCCCCCTTTAATATCCTTTGCTAACAGAGAACCAGATTCTTTGGCAGGTAGCTCCTGCAGGATTTTTACAGCCTTCTGGGAATCATTTCCCAATTTGCAAACAACATACACAGGAAGAGATGCTTGGTCATTAGTTCTCTGCTTTTCTTCGCGAATTCTTTTTTCCAAGTACTCCAGCTGTTCTTCATCCTTCTCTTCCAGTTTGCTCAGCGGGATGTGGACGGCGTGTTCCAGGCGGCAGATATCCACCTCCACCCGCGGCCGGACGTCCAGCAGCACGTGAGGGACTTTGTCATCCAGCACCTTCTTGTACTGCTCTACCGAGATCCTGTCCTCGCTGGGCAGCAGATGCAGAGTCCTACACTTGTCGGTGGCAGAAGACCCACAGAACGCCTCGTAATCCTGCAGGCAGGTGACGGTGGGGCTGTCCCCGCACACGGCACAGTCCGGTTTCTTTGGTCTCAGCTTGATGTTGCGAAACCTCCCCTCGAGGGCGTCGAACACGAGCATGAACTGGTTGAAGGAGGAGCCCATTCCCGAGGCGATCTTGAGCACTTCCAGGGCCTGGATGCAGCCGATGATGCCGGGCACGACCCCCAGCACGCCCCCGTCGGCGCAGCTGGTCACGGTGTGGGGCGGGGGCGGCTCGGGGAACAGGCACCGGTAGCAGGGCCCCCCGCGGTAGTTGTACACGACGAGCTGCCCCTCGAGGCGCAGGGCGCTGCCGGACACCAGCGGCTTCCCC